AAAAAAAGAAAATGTATTTTTACACAGAAAAATTGAAAAAGGCTAGCATGAAATTGTATTCCCTAACCAGTTATTACCTCAGTAAGTATATTTAGGGATTTTCAAACAGACTTGCAGCTCTAGACACACATTTTGCAGATTCTTATTTATTTTTAGTTCAAGCTCTCTTGAATTCAAAGCTATAGCCATTTTGCAGCTCTAGGCAAGATAATTATTTTTAGCTGTCATGGTTGAATTGTGTGGATCATCTATTCCAGATTTAGTATATCCTAAAGAAAACCTTGATGGCTATTGTTAGTTGCAATCTGTGTGAAAAATGCAAATTGTATTTGTCATTTAAAAGCATTTACCATGACAACATGAATGTTTAAAATAGCTTTTTTACCTTATGTTTCTGGCCCTCTTAAATCTATTAATTTAAAAAGTCTGACATGTGGCAAATAGGGGTGAGTATTGGCATGGGTGTTGAGATACGATGCATGTCACGATTCTTGGGTCACAATATGATATTATAATGATATTGCAATATCACTATATATTGCAAATATTTTCCCGAACTATCAAAATTAAGTGTATAGATAAAAAAGCAAGTTCTGTAAATATGGGAGTATCGGGAGATATTGATCCTTCAGTTATTTTGGTATCCATGTTGTTTGGGGTTTCCACTGTGACTCCCTCAACTACATGGTCCACATAAAAATGTTTTATTTTTCTAAAATTGATATTAGGAACTGAAAGATCAATACTATATCGGGCAGCTGAAAATCACAATATATCACCAAATTGTTTGTTTTCCACACCCATGGTGGCAAAACCGTATCAGGGTAGCATGACTGTATTTAGCATTGCCTTAGGCGTTAAAATGGGAATACTATGCATTAGCAATAAATGACCTAGATAGGAAATTAGGTGATTTTAGCAGACATTTAGAGCAGCTTTGTTCTATGCCGGCAATAAAACAGTGATACAATTATTTAATCTGCCACACTATGTTCATTGGAATATTTAAATGAGGTCAAAAGATAATGCTCCTTGTTTATAAATTAAGATGAAAAGCTTTAAACAGATTTTTTTTAAACCATTTAAGCAGGTATATAGTGCTTATATTTCCAGAAGTGGCAAATATTTACATGTGAAATAAATAAAAACTCAGCAGAGACTCACAATCTGATGACTATTAACAAGTTATGATATATTAAAGGTATAATTACTAATGTTTTTGTTATCTGGACATTAATAGGATGCAAATATAAATAAGCTTGCTATGGGAAAAAAAAAAATATTTCAATCATTTTTTGTAGCCTGGAATGACTTCTCCTTAGGCTATTGAAGAAGAAAACACAGTCTAACAGCTATTTCACTCCAATAAATCTGATTTAATTTAAATTTCCAGTTTTTTCAACTGAAAAACAAAGAACAAACACTAATTAAAAAAATAAAAACTTGTTAAAGTAGAAGGTTATTTTCTCAAGGCTAGCATTCACTTAAAGACACTTTCAGAAATAGAATTAAGATATTCTTAAGAAAGGGCCATAAAAGTAATCTCAATTAAACATTTCTTTATCTACTTACCCTGCATCAGCTGACTGTGGCACATCGATTGGAAGCTTCAGTTTTCTGCATAACTGATTGATATACATGGAAGGTCCATTAAATGGTCAGAAACAGAAAAGTCACAGGGGTTGTTTTTGGTTACCAATTTATTATGTCCAACACAGAACATGAGCAAAGTGCTCCATTATATCATAGGAAATGTAATTAGATTTAATTGAGATTATTTCTTCTTTTTAGGTCATGGCACCAGCTGCTCAAGTTCTGCCCTCTAGCAGTTGGTGCCTCAGCCAAACACCTTTATAGCCTATCTAGGCATTGACCATATTAGTGTTAGCTGTCCTATGGCCCATGCCATGCAGGTGATTGCTTTGGGTGAAAAATGTCTGTGAACAGCAGGTCATACTATATATTCATGAGACCATTCAAATAAATTATTATATTATTATCTAACTATTCTATCATAATCTCAACTGTACTTTTATAGTTGTTTTACTGTTGCTATTCTTTCAGGATTTCCCCACTTGTCCCTCTCCATCCTTCAATGGCTTACATGTCTGTACTAAAGAAAAGCTTTCTGATTGCATGTTGCTAATGCAACCATGTTTCACCACAACGACAGGGTTTCCAGGTCGATACCATGTATCGACCTGCAATTTTGCATGTAGGCCAAAAAGTGGTAATTTTGTCTCATTCGCCAGAGCACTTTCTTTCAAATGCCATTTTCCAAACAGTCCTGAAAACAAGACTTCTTATTTATTTATTTCAATAACTTTCACCTGGTAATTTTCCATATGTTCCCAGTGGAGCAGTGGATCTCTGCAGTCCCTGTAGAATGACTATGCACCAGACTGTTCCTGTGACTGTGTCTGAAAAGTAGACCTTTCAAAGTAACTTAGTTTAGAAGGATAGCTGTGTCTCAGTAAATTTGCAGATGGAACATATCCCTCAGTTATAGATTAAACATTATCTAAGATGCTCAAAGCTAAGAATTGACCATATCCTGCTTTAAACTTCTACATACCTTTATACCTGACCTGTTTGGTGTGTTTATTTGTTTTTAATATGCTTTTTTGTTCACTAATGCTCTATAACATATCTCTGTCAGATTTATAGAGCTGCTTTATATTATATGTTACATTCTGTTGACATACAACTGAAATTCCTAATGGAATGCATGTCAATTTAAGGTTGTAATGTCACAAAATGAAGAGAAAAAAAAATAAATGAGTGTGAAATGAGTATAAAAAAGATAAATGAGTATGAATACTTTCAAAGCCAAATAGATAGTCAAGAATGATTTTCTTGGGTATGATTTTCCTTTGTAGTGTATAGTAAATCAGAATTATAATTCAGCACTGACCAGAAGGACTCACACTGTTTCCTACTGTGACAGGATCCTGAGCACATTCACCTCACAGCAGTGGAAGCACCTCAGCAATGAGTTCCTCAAGGCCCAGCAGGAAAAGAGGCATAGCTGGTTCAAAGCTGGAGGGACCATCAAGAAGTTCCGTGCTGGGCTCAGCATTTTCTCTCCAATTCCCAAGTAGGTGTAATTTCCTGTGTCTAAAGAGCTAATGTCAGATAGAGCAATGAACAATTAAATTGGCTCCAAAACTTTTCAATTTCAGCCACCCATAAGCAACAACCGCATAAGATCTTCCACAAGCAATGTTATTTCCAACAATGGATGGTGATGTTATAATAATTTTTCCAAAACTTGTCTGAAAAAAGTAAAATGCAACAAGAAAGACAACAGGAGAAAGAAAAAGCCAAAGCAATGTATTGAGCCCTGACTTGAATTTGAAACCAGTCAAAAGTTCCCATAGGAAGGAAACACTCCTCAACCTCTCTCTAGGTCTCATTTTGTTTTGACAGGTATGGATGCACAGGGAATGAAGACTGGACACTTGGTGGTGGCCAGCTTCACTAACTAGCCTGTTCTGACATCATAATGACAGTCGTTGACAGCAGTCGAATGTCAAGGGGCTGTATGGATAATGTACTGTGTCTAATAGCAGAAGTGACCACCGGCTGTTGTCGCCTAACAGTACCATTCTGTTGTCAGTCCTGTGTCCACTTTTTTGTGTAGACTGAAAGACAGAAGCAGCACAATGCAACCAGAAAATCCTTCATGTAGACGGAATTTAGCTTATATAGTTGTTTTTTAACTCCATGAACTAAAATCCTTAATATTAACACCTTAAGCTGGTACTTCTCTGTGAAATATGGTGTATTTAACAAGTGAATGTAATCCAGTAAATCAATTCAAAAAGTTACATTTGTGCATTTTATCGATTTGCTCTGCACAAGGCAATATATACGCCATAAAAAGTTTCTAAACACTTAGAAAAAATAACCCCCAAAATAATTTTAATTGGAAAATGGATCCTGCTTGATATCCTTGCTAATATGTAATCCACCCAGAGCAGGTTAATTTGTGTTCACAGAGAAATAAAACTGAAAAACTGATTTGGCAGGTGAATCTAATTAGAAGCAAAAGCATTTAGGTAACTCAAAGTGATAGTAGTCCATCTGAGGTAGGGGCATGTTCCCTCTAAATCTGAGATAGTGGATGGTTTAATGAGGAACCTCAACACAGATCCTGACAAGGGCATCCATGAGCTCCTGGAAAATCTTGAGTGCATCCGGTGGTGTTGGAACAGATTTAAACATGATGTATCAAATATATACTATTCAATTCTCAGGTAAGATGAGCTTAATAGACCAGTGAAGGGTGAAAATACCTCCATTCTTCAAGATATGCAAGCAATGGATCCAGCAATGGGTCTAGATTCTGACTTAGACAAACTTTATTGTCATGTTGTATACACAGAGCATATACAAAATGAAATTTCAATGCATACAGCTTTCCACAGCGAATGAGTAGCTCATAGCAGTAAAATGGACGATTTCATCTTAATGACAGGATTTCATGACTAAAGATTTCACCTTAATGACACCTAGAGTGCCAATGATTATTCTGTACAAATGTGTCCCTTCCTCCATTGATATACATCTCCAGACCAACACTCCTCTAAACCGATCATGCACTACAATGTTCCATACAACATGACATTCACTGCAGTTTCTCCACATCCTTTAAAGTCACATCAATCCAGCACTTGAGTAAACCTTCTCACATATGTGAAGGGAACAGGACCCATTGCAGAACCTGCCTATTCTCTGTGCCAAGCAGTAAGAACACAGCCTGCAAGAGGATATAAAGCCCTCAGGCCACCCTCATGAATTCTGTTTCAAATGGTTTCATTGAGATATTCAGACCAGTTGCCAGCTTGAAGTCAGTTTTTATGGGTCCTCACAGTTCTCACCCTGTTCTTCCTTGCTCAGATGAGCAGATGGCAGCCCTGCTTATGAGTTAAGGACCTCCCACAGTTCTACCCAGCACTCCTAGTGTAACTGTGTGTCTCTTAGTATTTTCTCTATGTTCGTACTAGGAGATACAGAAAGCCTTCTAGCAATGGTAACTACTGATGTGCTATCAAGGTGGACTTAGACTGGCTGTACAATCTCTGTAGAGTCCAGGTATCACCTCATTCTAGGGAAAATGAGTCAAATGTCAAACTGCTGAAAAACAGTCAAGAGAAGTAAGTCAAAAAATCTATCCCCTGATCAATGTTTCAAGAACCTCAAACCATGGCGTACGGTATAACACTTTCAGATTAGAGAAGCCAGTAGGCTTGTCACCAAATCTTTCCATTGCTTTGAACGAACGTCTCAGCAGAAGTCTAGCCCTTTCTTCTGTAGCCCAGGTAAGATATTCCTAATATATGTGGTTCAGGACTGGCCAAAAAAAACAAGTAATGACCCGGGCTATGGCTGGACACATCTACTGTATAGATTTTAGTGTTGATTTCAAAAAAGGTAAAAGAACAAGCTTCCATGACTTACTACATCTATAATTTTTTTCTAATTAATATGCTTTATTTTGTTTTATTTTATTTGAATGCTTGGTTAAAAAAAATTTGAGTTCCTCATTTAGTAAAAAACTTAAGCAAATACCAAATTTGTGATAGCTTTGGAAAATGTTTTAACTAATAAAAAAGATAATAACCCAACCTATTTTTGTTACTTAGGTAGTTGGTAACAGAAACTTAAAGACCCTGTCGCTTAAAGAAATATTGACAAAGTCAAGATTTTTCCATGCAAGTTCCACTTTGGCACCCAAATGAAACACCTAAAATCAGCAATTTTGTCTTCTGGTTTTGGTGCTTTACCCCATAAGCTACTATTGACAACCAATTCTGGAGGCATTACAGGCACAAAATCCTTTTCAGATGGTATAAACTTTTATTCAGGAATAGCATTGTCATGTACCCAACTTTTGAGAGCACTAATGTTTCCCTCAGCTGAGAGGCTTTATGCAGATGCTGGTATCACAGGACTTGCTGCCTGTTCACACAGCCAAACATATCGTTTCCTGGTTTAATCAAAGTAGTATCAATTATCTTGACCGACCAGCAAACCTTCCCAACTTATACTTGATAGAGAATGTATAGCGTGTGTATATAATGTATGTCTAAGTTCTGATAAAATATAGCACCTTTTAATATTCTTTTTTATTAATATCTACTCTTATATGTGCTACAGTTACCCTGGAAATAAATGTCTTACAAGAAAGGTTTAATCTAAAGGATGCTGTTGATCTTTATAGATCCCCAAGTTTTCCTCTGATCCAAGACACGGTTCTGAAAGGGAAGCTGAGTGTGCCTGAGCTGAGAGTGACCCGCCTGATGAACCGCTCTATCTCCTGTACAATGAAGAACCCTAAAGGGGAGCTCTTTAGCTATCCACCAAACAGCCAGGTTAGAGTCATTTTCTATCTTTTACTACCTGGAATGGGAATTTTGAAATGTTCTTTGCAGTTCATTTAAGTTTTACTGTGTAGGTTTATTGCTGCATTTATTCTTTTCTGTTTCAATGCACTGTGATCCACTCCCACCCTTATCCCCGTCCACCTGTCTACTGCATTGTTTCACCCGAGCCTTCTCCCTACCCTCACCAAAACATAGCTGGTGTGCCCTTTCCCATAATGCTTTGTCTTCACTTGACCCATCAGACTGTAGCTGTCCCGGCGGCCAGGGCCCCAGCGCAGATTACCACGAGGCAGCTGATTGAATTGTTTTTTTCATCCCAGGCGGGCGGCCACTGCAAGAACATCCCTACGCTGGAGTATGGCTTCTTAGTGCAGGTTAGATTTGAGCAAATATAGTTCCACTACTAAAAAAACACCTGTTTTATTAGTGGGTATTATAGTCTTTGAATCTTGGAAAGTCAGTAACTCCAGTTTTAAATCTTTCAAAGCCTCTAGGAAATTTACTGCCTGAATTTTACTGTCTTTGATTCTCTCCAACCAACTCCAACCAGTTTCTCTCTCAGGCAAAGATGTATTATGACTCACAGTATGCTTTTTCAATATGAAAAATTCTTCCACATGCTGTGGATTTCTGAGGTTCCTCAGAGTTACAATAAGTCTCTTGATTGTTTTACCTACTAATCTTTGGTATATAAATTTATGTTCAATTTTAAATGCCACACAGATTTTATTTGCAATTATGCAATTTAACATTATCCAGTATTGCACACTGTACCAATGATGTGTTGATCTTCCAGAAAAGACCAAAAATTACTCATTCCAAATTTTTTTTCTTAAGACCTGTTGCAGATTAACCCACTAAAGTTGGTTCTCTGTATCGACTTTCTGTTTTTGCAGCACTTGTTCATGTAAACACGAGAGCAGCGAGTGAAAGCTATAACTTGCAAATACACTGTGCTTTTTCTCATAACAGATAATGAAGTACTCAGAGCAGAGGATTCCCACACTAAATGAATACTGCGTGGTCTGTGACGAACAACATGTTTTTCAGAATGGGTCAATGCTGAAGGTATTAAAGAAAGAACACACAATATTGATATAAAATTTGTATTCCTATACTTTTAAAAATATTTTTAAACTATATAATAAATGATTTAACAAGGACGGTATGCATTTCTGTGCATCTCTATGCTGGAGTAGAGCTGCATACAGCTCCATTTAGGATCTGTATGTATCTCTATGCATACTGTCCTAAATAGATTTCTCGGCCCCAGTACGTGAAAAAAATGTGTTCAATGCTAACTGTTTCTTCCTGTTTTTACTGTCTTTTGTGCAGCCTGCTGTTTGTACCAGGGAACTGTGTGTATTCTCCTTTTACACACTGGGTGTGATGTCTGGAGCTGCCGAAGAAGTGGCCACAGGAGCAGAGGTTATAAGGATTTTCCTTTATTTCTATAAAAAAAAAAATTAAAATGTCTAACGAAAAACAAGCAAAAAATGTATTTTCCCCCCAATCACAAAAATAATAATAATTTTATTTTTATTCATGCATATAAGCATTAAATCGACTGGTACAAACTTTCCCTAAACCTTTCCAGGTCGTGGATTTACTTGTGGCTATGTGTCGAGCTGCACTTGAGTCCCCACGTAAGAGCATCATTTTTGAGCCCTACCCATCAGTTGTTGATCCAAATGACCCCAAGACCCTTGCATTCAACCCAAAGGTTTGCTTAACTAAAAGCAACTTTGTGCATACATTTTTATTCCATATGACTCTGTAATTAATTTAGTCCAACAGTTATTTTTTTCTTTTAATTACCTCTAGGTTTTTATGTTATGTTAAATTCTGTTAATGATGTTCCTAAAAATACTGTTCTTTCTGTCTCACTGGATTTGTTTGCTTTCGCCTGGACACAGAAGAAAAATTATGAAAGACTGCAGAAAGCACTGGACAGCGTCATGTCCATTCGGGAAATGACCCAGGTACAAAAAGTAGGCAGGAGGAACAGAACTATGTCAAAAAGAAAGAGTCCATCTATTTGAATTTTTTTTTTCACAGTACTTATTAGCTATTTGGCAGACAACCTAAAAACAGCAGATGCCTCTTTTGTTTTCAGGGTTCTTATCTAGAGATCAAGAAACAGATGGACAAACTGGACCCTTTGGCCCATCCTCTGTTGCAGTGGTGAGTAGGACATGAGAAAGATGAGATCTACTCAAAAAACATTTTTATTCTAATTCTTTAACCAAATACATCCACACCTCTACTACTACACTACCACTATTAATGAACACATTAGAAATTACAATACCACTACACAGTTACTGTTGATTCTCTGTTTCTTTGCAGGATCATTTCCAGTAATAGGTCTCATATTGTCAAGCTGCCTCTCAGCAGGGTATGCATTCAGAAAAACATTCTCTTTTGTCTTGAGAAACAAATTAGGTTTTGTTATTCTCTTTCACTATGTTTTTTAACCATTCTCTCACTCTCTTTGGCCTCTGATTACATCATGATAGCAACTCAAATTCATGCACACCTCCCACCAGTTCCTGCTGCTCAGCAGCCCCCCAGCCAAGGAGGCTCGCTTTCGCACTGCCAAGAAGCTCTATGGTAGCACCTTTGCCTTCCAGTGAGTTACCCCGACCATTAGCTGATGGAATTTCCTACTATTATCTCTACACCTTTGTATGAAGCTTTAAAAACATGTCTTGTAAAAAAATATATATATATATATATATATATATATATATATATATATAAAAAAAAATATATATATATATATATATATATTGTATATGTGTGTGTGTTTTTTGTTTTAAACCAAACTTTTTTTTCCGAGAAATCATGATCTTTGGCTGTAATGCATTTTAGAAAACATAACAGTATAATTCCCAAGAAGCTGCCATAATTTCTTATTAGAGCATTACGACCTGATTGTAATTAACATGCCTCTGTGCTGTTTTAATGAAACCATTACAAACCAAAGGACAAAGCAATGGCTTCTCTCTTGGACTGCGGAGACCCGTTCCTCCGCCAGCACATGGAGCCAGTGATATTTGTGTGAGGGAAATAGAGATTTGTAGTGCAGCAGATGGGGCTCTGCTGAATATTTTAGATACACTCGTCCCATCTGGGCTTTAGCAGTGTGAAACTAAAGCACACACAGTGCTAACACCCTCCTTTTTACTGTGGGTTAATGCTTTTGATTCCAAATAAACATGCTGAATCTTTAATTTAATCTGGGTGTCATTGCTCTATTTTTAACTTTACAAGAAATATGCAAAACATAAACATCATTGCCTAGTCACCGTCTTGCTTCTACAAATTAGAAGGCATGGCAAACATAGGTGGCAATGACAAAAGTATTTCATCATGAATGTGCATGGATGAAAAAACTTCTCCCTTTCTGCAGCCGTGAAATGATTTTGGCTCTTGTGTTTTATTAGGACAGTTTAAATATCTCTACTGGAAGATCCAGTTAGCAGTCATACATATTTTAAAATCTTATGTATGAATAATAAATGACAGCTGAAGATTATCCTGCTTAACAGCCCTGCTTATTTTGCATAGTATATTTAAGACTTAGATTAAATCAAAGATCCAACAAACAAACAAAAACATTTTACAGCTCTTTATTGCGAAACTGCCTGGTGGAGAAACACATTCTTAACACAGTTTATAAAATAGGCAGGCTTGGAAAATAGATTTAGAAGACAAAGACAAAGTTAGCTGATAAAACGAAGCTTTTCTTTGAGTTACACTAAACCTCTACAAACTGCATTTCTGTTTGTCTTTATGCTCATAATTTGCTGTATATTTTATTTCTAATTTGTCTTTTTGCTCTAGTGGATCCCATATAGAGAACTGGCACTCTGTTCTTAGAAATGGACTGGTCAACGCTTCTTATACCAAGCTGCAGGTACGTTACCCTGGCTAACTACAGCTCAGATTCATTATACTTCCTCCTTCAAACAACAGACCTCCTTTTTACAGAGCAGGCTTTCAATCAGCCTGATCTATCTTTGCAAAAAATGGATGCACCTCACTTTTTTTTTTTTTTAGAACAAGGCACAGTAAAAGGTTTTTCTGGTCAATATTGTCTGCTTTCAGCTGACACAATTTTCCAATCTATGTGGGAATGTAGGGATTTAGAAAGTGGTGTCAACTGACATGTTGGGACACTGCCTGTATGCCCTGTTGGCTTCACAGGCAACACTATAATAATTATCTTCTCAAAACTAAAATAAAATTTAATGACAATGTAAGAAAACCTAGTTTATAGCAATTAACTTAAATAAGATTTCTCTATAAATATCAATATTGTAATCCAGCAACAGAATTGGCTCATTTGTGGAATGCTGTAATGACTGCATGGAAATTCGTGCACATCCTGAAAATAGATTAAACACAATTAAATCAGAAATCTCAAGGCTCGCTGAACCGTTCTTGTCGGCTACGATTGCTTTGTCACGCTGATATGTCTAATTTATGCTGCCTTTGTTCCCCTGAGTTTTTGAACTCTTCTTTTTGGATCTGGGCTCGCTGCTTTTCCCCTCCTCTTTGTTTTAGCCGAAGCATCCACACCCTCGCTCTGTCACTGTGTTTCACAGAACAAAGGAAAACTGAGTCTCTCCATCTCCTGCTACCACACAAACCTTAAGTTCTTGTTTCTAATTCATTATTTTAAATATGTCATATCCTCATCTTCTTTTTTCTCCTGTTACCAAACCATCTAGATGCTCTTTGTTCTTCCTCCTCACTATGTCTGTGTTTGTGCTATTCCATCAGTATATTACACATGGTGTATGCATTGCAAAAACAATACAGTACAATTTGTGAGCCAGCCTTTGAAAATAAAAAACAAAAATTACATCCTTCAACACTTTTAATTGGGATGAAGGTTCACCTTCCAGCAGGATTAGGTTAAACAAATGAACCATATTGCAATTGAAATTTTTAGATTATATAAATAATAATATAGATTTTTCATGTGTTACCCAAAGTTGAGAACTAAATTCTGCTTGATATTTGTATATCGTAGATTTCCAGTTATTAAAAAAGAAAACAAAAAAACAAAACGAAAGAAAGAAAAAAAATAGTAAAAGCACTCAGAGCAGCACATTTTGTCCCATATTGTGGCTTAAACCTATAACTAAAATTTGCATATGATCCAGATCATTACCAAGATTTTATGAATTGTTCCTTAGCATGAGGTGCACCTTTTGTCACAATTTCCTTAAAATCTTTTCATAAGTTTCTAAATGAGGCTCAGGGTGTTTCTGCAGCCTCTGGTGTTTGCTCTGCTCTTACCTTCATTCACTCTGCTTCCTTGTTTGATCAGCAGATTGAGACTTCAAGCCCAGCCTTGCTCACCTTTCCTGTGTTTTTGTCTCCAGTATAACACTTCTGGACTTTTTTTAGCTCGATGCTTAAGCTGTTAGTTGTCACTGTTGCTACTCTCTTGTTTCGGGGGGGAGATTTGTTCTGCCAAATAATGTTAAAGAATCCTAAAAAATTCCTGCATCTGGATTTATATGTGGATCATCACCAAAATGTAATGGATTGTTTCTTGGACTGAGGTGCACCTTATGTAAAAGTATCATTAAAAGCAATTTATACATTTTTAAGTTATCCTGTATATAGAACACACCCCGCCCACACACACAAACTCAACTAAAAACATGACCTCCTTGGCGGAGGTAATAAATAGATAGATTCAATGCTAACTGTGGTCTTCTCTACCCACTTCACAATTGTGGCATGTTTTGTGTCATTTTGGTAATTTATGTTGAATTAAAACAAAACAAACTTTATGGTTGCAGTGTGATACGGGTTTAGATAGTTTAGGGGGTAATAATAAATCACAATTTTCTTCTAACATTACCTGAATACAAGAACATTGTACATCTTTGCTGAATTTCTCTGAAAAAAAGAAAGAATGAATAACATCCCATTATCTCCTCTTTGTTGTCTACTTTCCATTATTTTGGATTTTGTGGTGTATAGCTGATATACGTAAACCTTTCCTTTGATATCACTAAAACTGTTTAGGAATAAATTGGGCTGTATTTTTTATACATATTTTTGCCTTATGCTCTTTTCAATCCCAAGCTGCATGGAGCAGCGTATGGAAAGGGCATCTATCTGAGCCCCATCTCCAGCATATCTTTTGGATACTCAGGTAGGATCACCTTATATCCGCCACTGAGACCCTACTCCCACCGCTTTCTTCCAGATGTGGCCTGATTATCATCTTGGAGCATACCATTTTTTGGCAGCTGTGTTTTGTCATGTGATGTTCTTTAATTTGTGAATGCTGAGCCCATTCCATACCTTTACGTTGTGGTTGTCTTAAATGGGATTTTTTTGTGAGGGGTTATGCAACAGGATTTTTTCCCCTATGTATATTGTTTATGTTCTCTTTCAATTATGGTGTGATGGTCTGCTCTTTTTCACGTACACAGTAATTTTTAACAGCTTGTAACTGTGGTAGAAGTCTTGAGGCTAGTGTTTAGGGTTTATATGTCAGACTAATATTCTGTCTTTAGGCTGCTTTTTTTTCAGGTGGTGCAAATTATTAGAACTTGCACTTAATGCTGCAACATGCTATAACACTGCAAAAAGAGCAATTTCCAATTGCTTTGAATGCATGATTATACAGTAAGCACACATCAAAGCAAAACACCACACAGAGTGTTGCTCTTTTGTCACTTTGCATATAATTAATATATTTTCAGATATAGGTTTCTAACTTAAACATTCACAATAAACATCTTGAACAATAACAAAATGGCATTGGTTTGAGGAATCGAAGTAAGATTTTTTGATAATTTTTTAAATGCTTTGCTACGTCTCTTGTAGGAATGGGGAAAGGACAACATCGCATGCCCACTAAAGATGAGCTGGTACAGCGTTACAACCGTATGAACACCATCCCACAGGTGATGGGAACGTTCCCCTTTTTATATTGAAATTAAAAACTGTAAATAAAACACTTTTCTAACATCATTAAATATAACTCATAACAGGTTTCCTTAAAAATTTGTATTAGTTGTTGATATGATACACACTTTAAGTGACTTTAAGGATTTCATAACTTCTCTGTGTTTCACAACAGAGTCGTCCAATACAATCAAGGTTTCTGCAAAGTCGAAACTTGAACTGCATTGCACTTTGTGAAGGTAACAAATGTACTTATGGTGAAGTTTTTTATTTAATAATTATATATCTGCATATCTCTTTTGTGAGAAATGTGATATTGATTTAAAACTACTCTCCATGTTTAAACCATACAGTGTATATTCTGAAATGGCACAGTCTTAAAAGGCCAGGTGCTGTAACAAAAGGGAAAATAATTTACTGAGAATTAAAAAAAACTAGATAACAATCAATTATTTTCATAAGCATTAAAGTTTTATTATAATTACAAATGATGTCTTACAGTACAATGGTTTCAGCTGCTTTAATAAAGGTTAAATGGAAAATAAACAACTAATACAATGAGAAAGAAACACTTTTAATTTGTAATAATGTAAATAATGTAAAAATTTTATTGAACACAAACTATATTTTTTCCTCTTTCCTAGTGATCACATCTAAAGATCTGCAAAAACACGGCAACATATGGGTGTGCCCGGTCTCTGACCATGTCTGTACCCGCTTCTTTTTTGTGTGAGTAATCCCAGCAGTTTATTCTGCTTGAAAATGTGCAAATGAGGCATCATTGCCCTGTAATAAAGAAACAATGTGGTATTGTCAGTCATCAAATAGAACATCAGTACAAAAAAATATTAATAGTTTTATGGCCCAAGTGGCCTTTATTTAAAACCGGCCTAACAGGAAAAGGGAGAAGAGATAGGGAAAAGAAATGCAGCAAAGTTCTCAGGGTCGGGATTTTTAGCCACTCTATTAATAGGATTTCTCTGCATGCCATCAATTAAACTCATTATATTATGGATTAAAGTTGAACATTCAAAACTAAATTTATAGCTATATTAAATACATTTGTTCATGTTTGGTTATTTTCTGAGAATTGTACTGAATAGACCAACATGCTTTTTAGCAAAACCACAAAATCAAAACCTTGTAGAACCACCTTTGTAGTCAATAACAGCTGCAACTGCTTTCCTACTTAGTTCATCAATAGATTTCTGTCATTTATTCTTTGCAAAATAGGACAAGCTAAGGCAGATATGATGGACAGCTTCTTTGAAAAAAGCTTTTTTTTTTTTTAGTAACACAAATCTAAATGGTCCCATTGTAGTTCTGGATGTATATTTAGAAGGGTTGATCTCAGGGAAGGTGTTCATCAAACTTGGTCTAAAGTTTTGTGACAAACCTCCCCTACAGTGATCAGCTTTCCAGTCTGTGTTAAACAGAGGCAATATAACCACACGGATGCTCCTGTAACTTTGGAGGGTGTGTTCAAGGTCACATGCAGTGTCAGTATTTTAAAACCTTACCCCTGACCTGTATGCTGTGTCCTGTCTCTATTAATTTTGTTCACCACATATCTCATACAGTCATCTGAGGCCATCATAAAGCAGTTTCATTTGTACTGAGACTGAATTTCACAGAAGGACTTTTTAACATTTGCAAAAAATTGGTAGAATTTGCATAGTGGACTGAGAAATCTTTACTCTGATAGAATTTCAAAAGTAGAATTTTCCTTTAATTTTAGATACAAACTCTACTTTTTTTGTCTGTCACTCAAAGTCAAGAAGTATATCTATGCATCTTGGTTGTAAAATGCAATATTTAGAAAACCTTTTTGAGGTGTAATTGCTTTTACAAAGAATTGTTTATGAGAGGTTTTCTATCTACGTTTACAGGTACGAGGATGGCCAAGTAGGAGACGCTAACATCAACACTCAGGAGCCTAAGGTGCAAAAGGAGATCATGCGTGTGATTGGGACCCAGATCTACTCAAGCTAATGGAGGTTCAGCAGCAGATCTATCCCTGTCTTAGCTGGGGGCAGGCAGACCGACAGGCAATTGAAGCTAATGCTTCGATGAGCTGTCCTAAGACCGGATTCTGAGGAATGAAAAGCTCCTGAAAACATTACTAACGTCATGGCTTTACCCATGATTTTCTCCTTTTTTCTCCTGTTTTCTATCTTCCCTGCATTGTTACGAATTTCCTGTTCACCGGACCCTCAGTTAGTTTGCTCCTGGTTTACCCCCCTTTGTGCATTGGTCTACACTAATGCAGACAAATTTGTAGAACTGCTGAGGTTAGACTGCTGTGGCTGCGGGTTTGCTTTCACTGATTCTTTGGACTTTCAGTTTTTATTCCTCTTTGTGAATATGTAGTCAAACAAATATTCATTCCAATTAACCTTTTATATTACAATTACAAGAGGGAATCCCTCACACAAAGATGTTCTGTTTTTTAGAGTGTTTGGGACAAAATATGTTGTCAATTTATTCAGAACTTTTTGTTTGAAGGTATGAACTGAGGCTGTTATTTTATGGAGGGGTTAGCATCACTATGAAGGGTTCTTTAAGGTATAATCTTACTTCCAGACTGAAAATTCAAGTTGCTTGTTAATGTAATAGCAAGACAAAAAGGAAATTGGCCAGGAAAAGCCAATTACAACATCCATATTTTTGTGACTCACCTGTTGTGATGACAGATTTTTATTTTATTTTTTTTGCTTCGCTTTATTTATTTATTTGTTTGCTTTATTTATTTATTTAAAGGGACTGAACCCATAAAATATAACATATGCTTGTTCTCTGATAACAATGATGGCTTTAAATTCGATAGATAAGCAACAAATATTAATATCATCCCAATATATGAATCATCTGATTCTTATTGAACATAAAACAAAAGGGATCAACATGTTTTGGTGATGTTTTTATTGAATCAAAATGATGGAAACTCTGCTTTGTTTTATTGTATGAAAATGTTTAAATTTCCTGTTTTTTCCTGTCAATTAATAATCAGAACCATTTACACATGAGGCCTTTATGGGTAAGAAATAGTTAAAAAACGCTAGATTTGTCTGTGGACCACAAAAAGTGTTAAGGAGAAATACATTATACAACAATACTTTTAATGATTATTTTAGCCTAATTCTTTTTTTATATTATAATAGTCTAGAGCATAAAATTTGTTTTCTAGCTTTATTTTTGATTTATTTGAGTTTAAGGGTCTATAAGTACTCACAGAAAAAGTATTATAAGAGAGAATTATGATGGTTGATGAGTTAGGATAAAACTGGAGCTGTCAGATCCATAACAATGACACAAACATGCACAGTTGAGACCCCATGTTTGCATACACTGTTAAAAAAAACATGTCTGAAACCAAAAGACTGTTTTTTTTTAAATGAACAACATGCCTATACAAAAATAGGAGAATATTTCATATTTTTTTTACCTCAGAATTAACATACATTTCCTTACAGACTTAATTTTTAAACTAAATGAGATTGGCTAAACGTTTTAGCTTTCCTCCCAGAATTGTCTCACAGTAATCGGACACATTTTTGCCCTATTAACATGAAATGGTTTGCTTAAATGTTTGGGTCATTGTCAATTTTTTAGCCCCTTTCGTGTTCAAACTTTTATCTTGTGATGTTGCTTCAGTATTTATTTATTTTTTTTCCAGTGTGCATTTAAAACTCTCCAATTTGTCTTTTTTTTAATGTCTTGGTTTAACAGTACCAGCTTTTTCCTTTTTCCTTTTGTTTGGTTTGATTTCATCTAACTAAGAAAATTACAGATGTGTCATTTTTATACAGTGTATGTAAACATCTGGTTTCAATTGCATGTAGGAGTAATAGGATTATCATGTGAGTTAATTCATCTGTGATCATGTAGGTGTGGTAACCTTTCAGGTATCATCTTTTTTAAGGTATTCATTCTTATGTAAAATGAGTTGTTTGTGTTTTTGTTCTGTTTGTATAGGCTTCACTTTCCACCCAAAAACTAATATCGAAAGCTGTTGATTATTGTCCCAAACTCCAAACAATTTTCCAGCAGCCTTCAGTCCAAGTGAGCTCAGTTTGTTTTTAAAAAGATACGAGACATTGCACTCATCCAGCAATTGCTTCAACTGCCGACGGTGACTGTCCTCGGATCAGCAGTAGATGGCCAGTGCTGGACAATAAGTGATAGTAAAAAAATACATATATACCCAACCTCTTAACTATGCTATGTCTCCACAAAAAATACAAATGCATCTGGAACTGGAACTCTTAACAACTTACTGGACATACATATGCTGCAAAGAAAGCAAACTGTATATAAAGACACTGGAAAACTTGGGTAAAATGATAAGGATGATGGACATGTGACAGTAACCCAGAGCAGTGCCAGACTCTGCCAACAGCTGATAACTGTTTCTGCCAAGATGTGTGAGTGCCCAGCCTCTTTAGAGGTCTATTTTCTCACCGTCTGTCTCTGCTTTGTGATGCTTCAAAGATTGTGATGATTATGGCGCTGATGAAAAGCAGCAGTGTTGGAGAAAAAAGAATAAAGCCTGATTTGCACAGTTTTACAAACCGACCAATTCGCTTTGATGTCTGTTGAAAATAAGTCACAATCAACGATGGACGTCGTCTATTGTTGTTGAGCTTTTAGGCTGATGCTTCAGACAGAAGGTGGCAGTATTACTCCACAGCTGTTCAAGCTGAACCACAGCTCAGTTTGCAGATGCATCTGAAGACAAAATCACACCTTTTTTTTCTTGTCATAATTCATGGTTATTTTCTTTAAATGGGTATACTTGATTGTGAAGAAGAGAAATAATTTTTGATCAGCCAATTTATTTACAAAGCCATCATGTGAGAAAACTCAAATGTTTCAGCTGTTATTAGAAGGCTTTGTTATCAGTTCTCTGGGTGTTGATGAAAACAAAATAAGGTTTTCTACTGAACTGTTGCATTATAGAAGGAATTGAAACAAGGCTAATAACACAACAACATGTACTATATCTTTATTCTTTTTTAAAATTGTTTTTCATTAATGTTTGACTGATTCCCTGACTGACTTACATCTTTAAGAGGACATCAGTTGCTGTTGTTGAACAGCCAAAGCTGTGTTGCCCCTCTGGGCTCCTGTTGCTCTCTCTGACCACAGAAAGCTCTCATATTTCAAACCTCCACAGCAGTCCGGTCAGATTGTTGTTTTGGCACCTTTTATGGGTACAAGCGCTGTCTGTGTTGAGAGCAGGCCTGATCATTGGGGAGCACAAACAGGCTCTTGAGTGGCACTTTATCTGTGTGTGTGTACATGCCCGTGGAAATTGAACGCCTTCCTTTTATAGGCTGACCCATTTGAAAGGAGCACGCAGTTAGGCCTTTGTGCTTAGAAATGTATAGATGCTTGTGACTACCAGCAGATGATCTGTATGATTCACAAATTACTATGATCTCTGTTACCAGGACCTCATGTTGGACATGGTCCCCTGGTTTGGCTTTGTCCCCCAGTATCACAGCCAGCTGGCTGGTTGCTTGGAAATTTAAACCGCTTCGACCCAAATGGTGTTACTTTATGCACAGTAGCAACTCCTACCACAGAGGGGAGCTCTTGTGTTACTCTGCTGTTCTTTGTTTCAGTAGCTTTCTTTGCATATAGTTAACATATGCACTCCTCCAGACTCACACACACATGCTGGTAAACAAACACACACACTAAAACACTCCACTGTGGTTGTTTGGTCAGATAAAGGAGTTGTGACGGCAGGGCACAGGGTCACTGAGGGTTGTCTGGCCCTCACTGGATGCGGCTGCTCCCAGCCTCGCGGTCTCCAGCTTTTGTAATAAGTGTGACCATTTGATTCCTGCACAAAAGGAGCAATTACTGGGAGTTGTTTAATCACCCACATTTTTATTGAGCACGGGGTCTTTTAGCTTGCAGCTCAGGCCCTCGTCTGCGGCGGCACTCGGTGACAGGAGTGACAGAGAAGGTCAGTGGTTTAACCAGGCAAGAAGAGGTTTTATTTGAATTAAGACTTTGCGGACCACTCTGCACACTGCAAAGCCCCCTGAGACAGAAACAAAGAGGTACCCAAGACCAGGGGCAGGTTTACTGGCCAAGGCGGAGAGACAGATGAACTTAAGAGAGAGAATAGAGTAGAATTAAGGGCTTGGTAGACACGTCATGCTTTTATTTCTGCAGTGACATCAAACATGTACTTGGCGTTTTGATTCTATCTTTAGAAGGTCTGGATATACAGAAGCAAAGCCTCATAAGGTCTGAAAATGAATACTTAAAAAAAGCTGCAAAAAAGGTTTAATTCTTAAGTCCTAATACGTTGTTAATTTACAAAAGAAATTAAATGAAAGAGATGGTAATTTTTGTACAGATTCCTTCTTCATATTTCTCATAAACTGGACTCTATATTTTAACTGCTTATCTTTGGTAATACAGCTAAAAAGTACCAAATATTATGTTCTTCAGAGATTTCATCTGTAATATGTCACAAAACCTATTTAAGAAAATAATTTCAGAAGAAGAAATACCTTCTTTATGGAAAGGGTCCCATTGGACTGGAGATTATATGCACTTGGCAAATGGCTTGGGCTATTTTTACATGAATTAGAAATTAAAATTCAATTTAAAAATATTTTATTGATGCCAAAGTGAAGGAAGTGTAATATGGCTTGGAGTCTTTTTAGGCTGTTGTGAATAGTGGCCTTTAGATAGTCTACATTCTTCACCTTATTTCTCTCAAATAGGGTTTAAATCATGCAGGTTTGGCGGCCAATCAAGTGCAGTAAGGCTATAGTTATAAAAACTATATTCCTTAAACCAAAATTACTTGGTAGACAGTTACACTGACTTTGGACAGGATAAAACACAAGATCTTCAGATAAACTTGGATTATTTGCCTCATCATTCCTTGTTGATATCAAAACAATTGAAGGAAAAACTTTCATTTGAAATGAGAAACTAATTTCAGCAGGATACAAGTGGCTGAAATTAGCTTCCTCCACACGTTGGGAACTTCCTTAGAGATGAGGGCAGGACCTTGATCATCTGAAAGAGGATCAGAGTAGAGCCCCTTCTCCTTCACATCGAGAGGTGGCTGAGTCAGTTCAGACATCTGTTTAAGATGCCCCCTTGAACGCTTCCCTTGGGAGGAGGCTTAGGCAGGACTATGTCTCAGCTGGCCCTGAAACGCCTTAGACTTTCCTCCAGTTCCTCTGAGGAAAGCCTAGAGGTGTCTGGAAAGAATGGAGCCTGGAGATGTTTGCTGATACCGCTAAAAAGAGGAAGATGACGAGGACAAAATTAGAACGTCGGATGATGGACATATAG